TGAGATTCTGTTACGAGCACGTTTTAACCTGAGTTCCTCCACTGTCCAGCATCCATTCCCATCCAAAAAAGCGCCTTTAATGATTAGCTTTCTCCCTTTTTCGGATTAATATTATTTCGATTCATTCTGTTGTCGCATTCCACTACCGCTAGCTAGCTTGCATCCTAAAAGCTGAGCCAGGACGCTTTCGCTTCTCAACCCGCCCTCTTAGGATAGCTTTGCGGGTCCGCGGGAATTCACAACAGATATATTAATTTTTGTATGTATATATATAGTATAACTTTGAAGATTGGCATATCACATAATCTTTAAGTGTTATATTTATGTATAAAACATTTCCTGTGGGTTTGATTTTCTTGCAACCTAAGAGAAAATGAGTGCTTCAATATCTTTTATTTTTTCGCTATGATTTTACTAATCTTGGATGTTAAAAGAAGAAACAGTAATGACTTTCACTTCATTTTCTTTAGTATCATACACACATAAAAAAATAAAACACAAAGACAAGAAAGAAATAAAATCGACAGGAGAGTTGGATAAATAGAAATGGAAAACTTTGTAATTGTTATTGTTAAAAGATTTCAGCAAACTATCCATCTCTACTAAATGATGGAAATAATATATGAAAACAAATAAAACTAAAAAAGGAAACAAAATAAAGGAAAGTGAAATTGAAAAACCTCGTAGGTGGTGATTGGCCTTATATCATGTGAATATTATTTTTTATCTATTGTCACAAATGGAAATGAAATGAAAAGAGATAGAGAGACATCACAAATCTAGAACGCAATGTTTGGTGTCAACTCTCACGGCTATGAATGAGTTATTTTAATGATAAACAACTCGAGAGTGCTAACTGTCTTTTACTCTCGAAGGTACGAAAAAAAAACAACGACAAGAAATAGATCAGAAGCACAATAAGAGAATCATGTTATATGTCGGTGCGCAACCACTCAATCATGTACATCGAGATTTTCCAGCCAATCTTACTAATCAGGAGTCTTATCACAAGTTGAGGCGAGTCAAATTGATTATATACCCAGCTTGGGGTCTTGGTGCTAATTATAACAAGCAACACTATCTATTAAGTATTATCTGCCTACCCAGCTCGACAGATTATTTCAATAAGTATAAGACTCCACATCGAGCATAGAAGACCACATAATGCAGTTATGCATATGTACATTAGATGTGACTATACAACTAACAGACAAACTGAACTTGAGAAGTATGTTTGTTGATTATTTCAGAAGTTTATTTTTTGATTGTAATACTCATGTCTCACAAATATGTCCGTTTATGCTTGAAGAAAAATCGAAATACAGAGAGGAAAAACGATTATAAAACGTATGCCTGATCTTATCCAGCACGACAAATTAAAATCATTTTCCATAAGCGAACAGTTAATTACATAAATTGCTATAAGGGTTCTGCGCTTGTCTATACTAAGAAGGTAAAACAGTAAGGGTTATGTCCCGTGTCATATTCGCTCATGTTCACATCTTAAACTATAATCAATACATAGATCATCATCATAGCGTAAAATATTATTATCCCCCTCACACAGTCTCATCTTTTTCTTTTTTTTTTTTCGTCGAAGCATCAATTTGTCCATAAACAAAGTAATGAAGAGTTGATGGGTTTTTTCAGGCCCTCAATGTAACATTTGACTCTTAGATATTGGTGTTCAAACAAAGTATAATGAGGCTAAATAAAAGTGGAGTGAGGAGACAGAAGTCCAAATCTAAGTATATTTGTACATATGAAGGTGACTATACACACTCAACCTTCTACTCTTCTACTCTATACATTCGTCTTTCCTCCCGTTTAATGATAGGTCACCATTCAGACTAAATCAGAAATGTCTCGTAGATACTACCTATCCTATATAATGAGTAACCTCACATCAAGAGAAACATTTAAATTGCTACTTGTTAATGCTACACACAGCTATGCTATGGGTTCGCTTGAAGACCAACGGTATCCAACAGGGAAGACACTTTTAATTAGCCAGTCCATGCCCCATGGCTATCCTTTTGGCTTTGACATCAAAAACCACCCACGCATACTATAATATATATTCATGATAATTTATAATAAATTTTTGAAAGAAAATTAATAGTAAAATTTTGATATCTTCTGTGAATCTTGTTGTAATTTGACGAAATAAATATCTTTGACTTGAATATTTGACTATATATAGTGTACCCGTAAAATCTTGACTTATAGTTTAAAAAAAAAAAAAAAGAAAAAAAGAAAGAATTGAAAATTAACTTAAATGAATCGTTTTTATAGTCAGAAGCATGTTTTATAACTTGTTAAAAAAATTGAAATAATAGAGTATGTAAAAAATTAGGTAGGCCAACCTACCAATAATATTATGCGCTATTTCAAAGTACTTTGTGTCATTCATTATGGCTTATCAGATCCCCATCTCGTTAAGAAACGCTATTGTGTTATTGGAAGAATTAAACTAGATATATGTATATAGGCCCCGTGCTTCATCATTCCCACAATGATTGAGAATATATAATTCCATTCGAATAATTCGATTAACTTCCTTAAATCTGCATATTTGTATACTAAAACAGTTCCAAAAGAAAGGGACGAACGGATGCAAAGATGACCACTTAATAACCTTAAAACGACATTCTATTTACTCATCTCCTTATTGGTTTAAATTTGAATGTTACACTTGAAGCTTATACTTATACATCTTTGATGTATAAAAAACCTCCCATTTGCTAGCTTATAATTAGCATGAATGTGTCCTCTTATGTTTCTTCCTTCGGCATCAATATACTATATACTAATATATATAATATATATATATATATTATACTATATATTATAGGGATGCTTCCTTGGCAAGCATGAGTGCCAAACGGCCTCTATCATTACAATAGAAAGACCGATCTCTCTCTCTCTCTCTCTCATACATACCACAGCCCACCACCATGGATAATCAATGCAAACAACACGTATATTACTCATGGAACTCTCATCCACGCTCTAACCTCAGTGAGTCTCCTCTGAATTACAAATAAACAATACATTTTCTAATTTTCCTTAAAGGAGAAAATCGACAACAAAAAAATGGTGTTATGACAGAGTAAGAAAAAGATTCACCATCTCCTCTTTCAACCGTTTCTGGGCAAATAAGAGAAAAGCAGAGATTCACAATGAAACTAAGCTTCCAAACAGTCTTGTCTCACAGGTACTATTGTTTAATATATAGTACAGAAAATAATTTACGAGACTTTATGTATTATATGCGAATTGGACTAAAGATGTTTTTTTCCTTTTCTTTCTTCTTTTTTTTTTTAACAGGATAATGAATAAAGGTGCCAAAGAGAGGAACTAGGGAAGGATAGGAACTAAAGAACTAAAGCTGTATTTGAACAAACCAACAGTATTGTTGAAACGAGAAATGAAAGCTGAGGAAGAAAGCTAAATTTTCTTCTCCAAGAAACTTGGCTTTAATATTCAATTTCAGAAGAATTCCCGTCATATGGATAGCTTTCGCCATCATGCTAGACCTTTTTCTTTTACAAGACAAACATAAGTAGTTAGTTATATATTACTAAATACATAGTATAGCTTATATATAATATATATATTATACTTATATATATATATATATATATAATATATAATAGTATATTATTAATATATGTGTAATGAGAACCAAAAAAATAAAGAAAAAAAATCTCTTTTTTAGTCTTCTCTTTTTTGTTTCTTTTTTTAATTATATTTTCTTGATCTTTTGAAGCATGTTTTAATTAATTAAAAGATATATATGTGTATGAGACCAAAAAAAATAAAAGAAAAAAAATCTCTTTTTTAGTCTTCTCTTTTTGTTTCTTTCTTTAATATATTTTCTTGATCTTTTGAAGCATGTTAATTAATTAAAAGATGTAATGGAATTGTCTGCAAGTAGATGTTGCTATAATCAATTATAATGGTAAATGATGATGATGAAGTATTATATACCAACTAAATATCAATTATGATTCTCTCTATCTCTTTTTGTTAATTTGGAAGTTGATGTATCAACTAAAACCTCAATGATTCTCTTATTGCCTTGGTTTTCAAGCCTGCAAATGATCTGAAGATGGAGACTATTCTTCATATTTAGCATTAAGTATACTTAAACATCAGCTAAGTACACTGGCTGCAGCCTACCTGCAATTTCACATTTATATTAAAGTGTTGTTTGGAAAGCATTTTTCTGTGAGAATTTTGAAATTATCTAGGTAGTGATTACTCAGCAGCCACCATGCATATATTTATTTCTTTCTGATATCACATGTAATACAATACTAATTGGGTTTAAACTGTAAAGTGAAGGTTTTACCTTTGTTTTAATCTTTAACAAGTCAACATTTACATCTCATGTTCGTGTTTCTAGTTAGTGATGCTTGTCTTGATTGTTGGTCTTGAGACTATTTAGAGATTAGTCATGGCAACTGTTCGTGTTCTTTGTTCGTATTTTAAATTGCATCCTCGTTATTATTATTATTATTTTCTTTTATTAAAAAGCTAAGATTTTTAATTATAATTAGTAGGGAGACAGATTTTTACAAATTATTTAATGTTTTAGTGCTTATTTTACCTGGTTGCTGCATGATGTTAGCCATGTTGCTTGTTCTAAAGTTTGTTTGTAGTTGTAGTTATTGCTACAGCTTTGCTCTTCCATTTTCAACCCAAAAAAAGAAAGAAAGTGCTAGAATCAAAACTGGACCATTCAAGATTCTTTCAATAATCCTTAAAGCTCTCTTTTAATGGGTTCCGCTTTCTAAATTCTAATGCTCAAGTGTTCATGGCCTACCATGCCCATGGAGCTGACTGCGATTAGAACTGCACTACTTTTGCAACTAAAAATTTTGGTTCCTACAAAAACTATGGTGTTGAATATATATGAACAGAGTATCTTATATTATATTGTCATATGAGTGTATATCAATTCACAAATACTGAATGAGAAGTCTGCAACCTTATTCATGTAAAAAGGGTTTTTGCAATTGAAAATTTCTCCATCAGATTAACTTAAAGCAACCAACAAAATAGAAAACAAGAAATAGTAAATGTTAGCTAAAACTTTCTCCATACGACAGAGGTTCAAGAAACAAGAAGGCCTAATATGTTAGTATGTCACTCTCAATGGTCATTATTATTGCAATATCTTTTTCAATGCCAATGGAGGGATTTGCAATTCAGCCTTTATTAGCAATAAATCCAAATAGCTTCTTCTATTTCCTTTCTTTGTTCTTGTAACCTTCCTTCTACAATGTCAAAAGACAATCATGGCTAAGTTGGAACAACCGGCACCGCCATCCTTTTGGGCCAAGTTCAAGGAAGTTTCAGGTTCATATGGCCTGATTAGATGCATCAGTAGCACGCGAGTCAACGACCAATTATGCTTAAACATGGGATTCAATTTAACATAAGAAAAAACTCCAAAAAGATGAAAAGGAGTTGTCAGAAAAAAATATATAGTCTGCAGTTGCGGCAATGTTCCATTACTTTATCCAAACAGTTGTAAAGAAAATGTAAATTAATCAATTGGGAAGGCTCAAGTCAATCCCACTTGATTGACAAATTCACTTACTACGATGGTTAATTTCAAACATCATAGATACAGCTCAGAATAATTTACAAGATAAAAATAAACCTTCCCATACTTTAGATTTTAAAGAGAAGAAACAAAAGTAAAGTGAAAGAAAGAAGAAGGCGACATCTAAATTTAACTTCTAGCTAACAGCAAGAACCAAGTTTTTTGTCCTGAAATGTGAAGTTTCCTGCAAGGGATATCGCGTTTCCTGAAAGCAAGTACAATGTTTTACATATCTATGTGAATGTGCACACACATGCTTAAAAATGCATGTGAATTTATGTATATGCACATAAATATGTGTGTTTGTGCCTGTGATATCAGAAATTCCAGTTTTATTCTGAGCATTATTATGGAAAGCAACATTACCTTGCCATTAAATAACTGATATAAAAGGGCATTTCCTGGCACATAAAAATGGCTTACAGACTTGGAAACTCTCAGAGATTCTCAGGACGTTCCTTCGTTGATTTGTATATACGGTATGCAGCAATACACATTGTGGCATTACCTATTACTGTCAGTGCTGCTTGAAGAGCCACCAATACCTACAAATCACCACAAAATCAACTCCATAAATTTAGTGCAAGTTGATGAGAATCAAATCAGGGAAAGTCAGAAAAAAAATACACATCCCAGCAAGCTTGTATTCATGATGCACATATAGAAGTAGAACAGCATAAGATAAGTATCTTTAATATGAACTAAATCAAATAGATACAAGATCCCTAAAAGTGCGGAGACAGTAATGAACTCTTCTACTACAGCGTGCAATGCTCTCAAGCACATTTGTAGATAAATTTGGTTTGGTTCATCGACAAAGATAAATTATGAACAAAATAGGAGGTTAGGTCTCATTAGTCTAAAACAACCTGGCATAGTATTATTTCCTATGGCCCAAAAATAGAAATCGGTGGAGACTGGACTTTGGCCAATCGAATGAGAGCCAAATAAGAGTTGGTCAACCAACCTGGATGCAGTTCTACTAGTGCAGATCGCATAAAATCACATACAAGTTATTGCAAAATAATTAGAAAATATTAAAGTGGTAACAATGTCAATGCAATGCTTTTTTAAGAATGTACTACACAATTATAGAGTAAGAAATTTTATAACGATTTTAAAATATTCAGGTACAGACTATACAAGAGTAACCAGAATTTCCAAACCCACATGTTCTAAGTATCATATTCAAGTCATCATTCCACTATTTCCTAACTCATCATTTAAAATAAATTCTAATTTGATTAGTTCATTCAGCAGTTACTTCCTGCACTTCAATCTTTAGCTGATATCAAATTGTTGCATGATTGAGGAAACAAATTATTGTAAATTTGCAATAAAATGATAAAACCATTCTTACCTCCAGAGACTCGGAATTATAAAAGAAATGCCATGTGCATGCACAAAATGCTCCACCGAGCAGAGGCACCTAAATTAGTTATATGTTAGGAACAAGTTAAAGAAAAAGGAAAGAAAGAGGGAGAATCAGTTATATTTTGATTACGCCAGTTATATATAATTAATCTAAAGCCGATAGGGCAATATATGCAAATAGAATACACCAAAATGATACATGCTTGACATGTACTTAAACTAAAGCAGCAACGAACAAAGAGGGTATCAACCCAATCCTTGATGGCAATTCCTACTAGACGAGAGTGATCCCCTTCATAAATTAAGGGCTAACATAAATATATTGATTTTGTTAATAGATTTATGTCATTCACAATTTTGCAATAAATAAGCAGAAATAGTGTTGTCAGTAGTAAATCTTAGCTTCTGTGTAGGATTATCCTCACAACAGAGTAAAATTTAATCAAAAGACAATTCCAACCGTTCAAATACCTAAATAATAATATCAAATTCACAATAGCAAGTAGAATAACTCACCATACCCCAAGAGAGGCCCTTCCAAGATTCAAAACCGGATTTCTCCCCATATTGCCACACCAAAGCCATTGCGGTAATCCTGTTTAGCAGGCAATTTGCAAATAGCATTAAAATTTTGAAAACACAGAGAAAAGGTATTAGCTTTAAGCATCAGCTACCCAAGTAAGTTTGAGATAAATTGTAAATTTTTTTGATTAGACTATGAATTAACAGCAATTATGCTATCTTAATCTTTAAAACAAATCAAAATTAGTAAAACAACAAAAAGTTGCAGGTTAGATAAATATAAATAAGACCACCATAAAATAAAAATTAAGATAATAATTATTAACAAATCCCCAGAACTGAAATATTACGATATGAAGAGTACAAAAGAACACACCACTCAACAACACTGGAAACGTGTATAGCCCAGGTGGGCAAAGACAGTGCGTTGGCAGGTTCAGTGAGTTGACCTAGCAAAGGTAACTCGGCAGCTGAGGCAGGTCCCATTACAGTCAACGCTAAACCCGCCCCTAGTAAACCCACAACGGAACCATAAGTTGAGGATTGTCGGGTCACGCAGCGGGTTTGAGAGGTGAAGGCAGTGCAAGTAGGTGGAAGAGCCAGAGAAGAGAAAAGGGTATGTTTGGATTTGTGAGAGGTAATTTGGTTACCAGAGAGCAGTGTTATGGTTCTCGTTGCGGTTGCCATTCGTGTTTTTAGGGCGGGTAAACTTTCAGATATCTTTTTCCTGGTTAGTGATCAAAGTTAGTTATGGACATGCTTTTCAAGATTTTGCGGGAGGTAAAGAAGACGGAAAAAGAACGAAGATAAATTTTTTGCCAACTGTTCAAAGAGGACGAAATCTTTTCTGCTATGCAACGACAGGAAAGGTTTCCTCTATGGACGGCAAGAACCAACGTTTATCTGACGCGTGGCATGGTTGGAAAGTAGGCTGGCCACGCCTCATTTCGGAATTTGACCAAACCGGCTCAGAAATTTGATTGAAATCGGTTCAGAGCGGATTTGGAATTGGCCTAGAACCAATATGATCTAGAACTCTAGCTTCCAGGATGGCTGAATCAGAATGGATGAATCAGAATCAATCGGAACCGACTGAAAAACCAATCGGAATCCACCAGATGTGCCGGAAACAGTTAAAAAAAAAAAGGAACAAAAGAAAAATATGGAATCGTGCTGGAACCAATTAATTTCTACAGCTAATATCCTTTCTTGTCACAAATGAAACATAACAGAAACAACAGGAACATGTTACATTACATAGATAAAAGACATCACATAGTGCCTTCAAATGATCCTGCAAGAGCTTATCGATGGCTTACAGGAATGCATACACGCCCAGGAGAATGGATGGACGGGTCAAATTCAAGAAGCTGCTCCTTTTCCTCAACCGAATTAACAGGATGAGAGAAATCCAACAGAGGAGCAATCAGAGGTTCACTAGCAATGTATCAAACTTCTGAAATTTGCACAAGCTATCCCTCATCATACTTCTTTCCTCTTAGTCCAAACCATTACAAGAAAGAAGCCCATCAAAGACATCATTACAGTCTGCAAATAACAGATGCTAAGATCAATAGGAGATTCTTAAAGCCATATATGCAGAGATAAAATAGTAAACCTACATTATATAAGTATATCATGCAGTAAAAAAACAAATGTCTTTAACATGATCTCTCATTGCCAATTTAAATTCGGAGAATTCAATGGCCAATTTATACAAGGCTATAGATTTACTTACTCACAAGCCAAAAAGGAAAATTCATTACATCAGCACACTGGATGTGACAATTAGATTGAAAAAAAAAAAAAAGAATTAGGAGGAGATCATATATAACATTTCTCGGATATGATGCTCAAAAGCCAAAGCAATATACTCAAATCCTAAGTTCATTTAACAAACACATACAGGTCCAATTCCAATATGTTACTGAGGTAACTACCAACAATATCCATACATATGAAATTATGAACTAAATTTAGAACTATTGAGTGAAAAAGATGGCCACAATTGAAAATAAAATACATTGCCTGAAATTCATTTTAGTTATTATTTAAAATTTTATTTTTTTTCATGAAAAAGAATATATTTAGTTAAATATATATCTATCCAAATATGTGCTTATATATGCATGTATGAAAAATATATACACTAGGGTCCTTGTATCAGGATCTTAGTGTTCAGTTCAATCCTTTTAGTAAAATGTTGGGCCGAGTTTCTGCTCAATGTTCTGCTGGAATTGATTCCATTAGTAAGAAGAAAACTGTGAACCCTGAGATGAGATCAGTATGAAACCTCAATGAAAATCATAGAATTACTAAGAGTTGCACTCATATAGGAGATGAAAGTTCCTGTTTCTTGCAGAAAGAAAAAGAGTCACAGTGTGCACAAGTTTTACTTTATAGAAAGAGAAACGGAATATAACACGCAGATATCTCGAAATTTAAACTTACAGATATTGCTGGAGGCACAGCCACAAGTGGATCTTGGAAAAACCTATTTGCAAGTGCAAGGGCAAGAAGACTGCTCTGCATCCCTGCAACCGAACAACATTTGAGCAAGAATTTTGAGAAGTTTGGTAAAATGAGACAGTTTATGATGAAAGAAGTACCTGTCTCAAAGGACATTGTTCTTTGAAGTGCTTTCAGGTCAGGTTCTTTAGGGAAGACAAGGCCAGCAAGAACATAACCAAGAACAAATGCCAACAGATGAAATAAAACAATGAGTGATAGTATGGTTGCCCCAAAAGAGGACATAACAGACTCAACATTGATAGCAAGTGGTGCTCCAACACAGCAGGCTGTTACAAGTACTGAAAGAGGAGGTAAAAAGGGTCGAATAGCATTAGAAATCCAGGGGAAGAACCTGCAGGAGCAAACATACGAGATAATAAGACGCCTTAAGGAGATTCACACTTCTGACAACTTGTTTCGAGTGTAAATCACCTGTTTAGAAGCAATCCTGCGGCAATTGGGGCCACTACTATCTGCAGAATGCTGGATATCATTCCTTTTACATCAACGGGGAGTCTCTTCCCAATAAGCAAGAGCGACAGTAATGGCGTAACAAAAACCGCAGTAGCAGTAGACAAAGATGTCATGACAATACTTAGAGGAGCCATTGGTGGATCAGTAAGAAAAGTAGCATAATTTGAAAGCTGGGCCCCACTAACACAGGATACCAACATAATCCCAGCACCTGACTCATTGACTCACAAATGTTAGCACAGCCTCACCAGATCCAGAGATCAGATAGAATGAACCTCACCTATGGGGGTAGGAAGGCCAAAGACTGATACAGATATTATGCCAAAGAAATATCCAAGAATAGGCTTCACAACAAATTGGCCAATGTAACCAGCCAAAATAGCCGCTGGTCTCTTGAATGCTTCAACAAAATCCTTTTCACTGGAATTGACCCCAACTGCAAACATCAGAAACCCTAATGCAGGAGCATAGTACCTAAAATAGATTACAAGAAAAATCATAAGCACATAACTTCTCAAAAGCTTATTTGATTGTATTGCATATTAGAGTTCACTTTTTTCCCAATAATCAGACCTGGGTTCAGTCTCACAATTTGTGCTCAAAGCCATTCATATCACTTGTGAATTTCTACATTCAAACTGTATAGAGTACAAATATGCAATAAAGACATATAACTACTTAACTAGCATGTTTCCCCTTTCACATGGGAAAATAATACAAAGGAACAGTCAATTTATATTGCTTATCCTGATGAACAATTTTTGCCTCGAGAGTAAACCAGAAAAATTGCCCAAATAAGTAATATTCATAGATTAGATGAGAAAGCAACCACAAGAGAGAATCTAACAGTTTAGGACATCATTTCTTCTACTTTTTTTCCCTCTACGTTTCCTGTAAAGTGTAAACCATGCTTGATATTCTAAACATAATATGAGAGAGTTTATCAACAGCAAAATTGTGAAATTGACCAACTGGCCAACGGGTGCAACTAGAATCATGTCAAGAAGATGATACTCCTTTACTTCAACTGCATTAGAAAAGCACATGCAAATTGTAGATTTGCTTAAGAAATTTTAACAACCTGGTGGTGAACCACGTGAAAGAGGGTGGATAAACAAGAGCTAATAGTGTACTAGCAAGAACTACATGAGGCAGAAGTGAATTTGATTGTTGCAAGATATTCACAATAGAAAATTCCTTCTGCTTAAGCACCTGAAACAAGAAATGCAACAAGTAACATCATATGTACCAGGATAGCTAAAGTCACTTCTAAATCAATGAGTACAAACACAAACTAGAGAACCATCAATACATGCAAGTCTAAATAAGCAATTAAGACTTGTAAATGGCAACACTAGCAATATTATCAAATATCCCACTGAAATCGGTAATTGCTGCAAAGAAATTTTTACTAACCTAGAAAATAGATAAAAGAGAAATCAACCAAGAAAATAATTCAAGCATTCTGGTTTTGCAACTGTTTGCTTAGTGATTAACCCAACTGAAGAGAAAACAAGGAAAAAAAAAAAACGTGTATTTACCTTATTTTGTTCGGTTGCAAAATTCGGACCTTGATCCTGCTCCTCGAAAGGATCCGAAAACTTCTCTGACGAACATTTGCTCACTAAGAATCTTGAGTTTCGAGCTATACACGATAAACATCAATAAAACACTCGAACTGTTGGGGGCGCGGAAATGAAAATAAAATAAGAAACTAAAGAACTCATCAAATAGACACTCACAGTAACATTGAGAATCGGCGCTTAATTGAACTGAAGAACCGAGAGACCGCAACTCTAATAAAGAAAAAGTAAAGCATCAATCACATAAGACAGTAAAAACCAGATTACCGAACAAGAATATGGTTAAAGAAGAACCGAACCTGAAGGCTTTAACGAGCAATTTCGAGGGAAGATTGGGACAAGACGGCACCTTTTAATATGGGAAATGTTTTGTGCATGGAATTGAGAGATACGCAAGCCTTGAAACTGCCAGTGCTTAACGTTGGCACTCATTTTTGCTTTGGTAAAACCCAAAAAGAGCGCAGATGAAAGCTCTATGGCTGTGGTGGGTGTGGGTAATCCAACTCTTTCGCTCTTCCTTTGAATGTCCCATTTTGTTTGATATGGGTATCGATACTTGCACTCCCTCAATTGATAATTGCACTCCACTATTACTCAAAACTTTGTCCGTGCCGGTCCTACCGGACGCAGTTTTCGGAGTGCGATTATCACTCTTTGGAAACATGAAAGAGACAGGGGTTGCACTTGCACGCCTGCATTGTTCTTGACTGACACTGTGTAATAATAATAATAATAATAATAATAAGTTGTATTAAATTAGTTATGTAGTGTTGACTTCCGACTTTTAAATTAAATTTTAATGTTGATATTTTAATTTTTTACTTTTAAATTAAATTTTAATGTTGATATTTTATTTTTTTAGGATTGTTGACTCTTAATTTTTACGTCATTTGTTAATTTATTTAATTGTAATCATACATATATTTTTAATTGTATAAATATTTAATTAATCATTGTAGTCTAACCAACCCCTATTTATTTATTAATATATTAAATGATTTTAAAATTACTCTAAAAAACTTTTTTATTTTAACTTGTATTTTGCTTTACATGGATATTAACCTAATCAAAGCGGACATTCGAAACAAAAAATTTATATAGCCGACCTCTATTAATTTGAAATTAAGGCTCAATTATTGTTGTTGTATAAATATTTAATTTCAATAATCAAATTAATGCTATGTTTAGCTTCTTTTTTGGCATAAAATATAAAAAGAATGAAAAATGACTTAAATAAATTAAATAATTTTCCCCATTTGTTTGAAAACAAAGAAAATATGAAACGAATGAAAATATACCAAAAAAAAAACTAAATTGATGGTAAGTTTTGTGGTGAATAATATTTCACTTTTCACTTATTCTATAAGATATAACAAGACCAATTAAACTATATCTGATTGCAACGGTATCAATTTATATTACCTATTCTAAATTATTACACATTTTATGTTTTATTTTCTTACTTTATATTTATGGCGGAAAACTTTAACATGAGTGGTAGCTCATATGGTAACTGATATGCATATTTAAGTTGGCATAGATCTCTATCATAAAAAAATAAAAACTTATTCTTCAAATCAAGATTATGAATCTCGAAATGAAAATAATTTCATATCTAAAAGCATGAGAATATTGTCATTTTACATATTTAAAGATAATTGATAGCAAAAATAAGTTTTATGTAATAAGGAGCAAGAGCTCTTATTTTTAAAAGTTCTCATAATTTTTTGAATTTTATTATTTTTAACATTTTTACCAATTTAAATTGTAAATTATATAATAATTATAACATCATGTTTATTTTAGCAACAAATGCATGTTTGATTTAGGTAAAAAAAAAAAAAACAATAGATTTATAGTATTAATTCTCATTTAAAGAGCACCACTTCCTTTTCAAAGTCTTTGCTTTGACAAATATCAAATATTTCTTTGATTGCCACATATCATTTGCATTCTTCAATAATTGATCTAAAATTATATAAAATTAAAAATAGATAAAATTAAAAGATAAATATTAAAGAGATAGTGCTATATGAAACAACAATGATTGAAAATTATGCTATTAATGTATTTTGTAGAAATTAAATAATAAAAAAATCCGATTCCGACATTGTTGTCTTATTGGAAGGATTGTTTTAATAATGTTAAAAATAAAACAAATAGAAAACTCTCACTTTCATGAGATAAAAGTGAATGGAACGCTTAGCTGGGGACTAATAAAATATTATTTTTCTTTATTGGAATTGTCGGTTGCTGAATTTCATATAGTACTTACTATATTACAATGTTTGCTTCTTTTTTTTTTTCTAAATTGAAAACTTGAGAAGCTCTCCAATGGCAAATGTACACCTCGAATTGAAGTGCCTTACAAGCTTAAATTCATAATTTTATTTTTTGGCATTGGAAAATACTTAAATTTAATAGATAGAAATAATATTCAGGTAAAATTGTTTAAGTAACAGTCATTTCGAGTTTTATCTTGTAATTAAAAGTTTATATGATTAATTATTTAATTATAAGTGATTTATTATTTATGAGAAAAGAGTATGAACTAAATTAGTTATTTAATTATTACATTTAATCTTTTGATTTAGTTAAAAGTAGAATATTCACATTAATTCTTAAAAGTATAAAAATAATACAATTAAAAGGATAGTAACTATCTTTTTTTTTCCAACAATTAGATTTGTTTTTTTTTTTTTTTTTTGAATTTATTTCCAAACAATTACGATTGTTTTTTTTTTTTTTTTTTTTTTTTTTTTTTTTGAATCATAGATTAGTGGTTAAATAGTTGAGCTCAATTACATCTTGCAGTACAATTTTATTTAATGTTTTTTATTAATTACACTTTTATTTAAGTTTAAATCGTTAATAATTATAACTTTTCAGTATTGATTCATCGTGTATATATTTTTTTATACTTTTCCTTATACTCTAATATAATTCATATATTATGATGGATAAAATTCATTTAGACTCCGTTTGTTTTCGTAAAATAACTTGTATAAAAATATTTTTCTCAATTTTCCGTTGTTTGGGGCGCTTAGGAAAATACGTCAACGGAAAATATTTTTCTAGCCAAAGGAAAATTAGGTCATTTTTTAAGAAAAATAACTTCATATTTTCGACGGAGTAAAATATTTTTCGGACATTGACATACTTTATAAATCTATATTTTTTTTAATTTATTAATCATCATCATCATTATCATCAGTCACTATTTACCACCGACCACCACCACCGCCGGCGGCTTTT